AGTCTATTGAATTCTTTAAAATAAAACTGATATCAATCCCAATTAAAATATATATGAAAATAAATAAGCCTATTTTGCTGTTCTGTCAAATCACGTTCTCTAAAATATTAACTTTAAAATAAGCCACTGTAGCCAATAAACAATTATTTACTCAGTTGATAAAGCAGGAGAATTTACTTTAAGGAAAAGAAACTCAAATCTTTGTTTACAATAATTCACATCATAAAAATCTAGGGTAAATCATTTTCTATAATAAACCAAGCAACTGTCATAACTTCTATGGGTCAATTATTCCTTGTAGAAAGCAGAGATCTCTTTTCTTTTTGGCAGTATCTACATGTATCTAAATAAAATTTAATTGTATAAAATAGTAATTACCCAGATCTTTTTACTAAGACATCTACTGAAAAAAGGAGAGGGCATATTTATACCAATTGTATCTAAACACCAAGGCTAACTACCACAATACTGAATACTATCTGCAATTGAAAGTAGAGAGAAGTAGGCTCATTTGTGCAAAAGACTAATTTTCCTTTATCTACTCCTGAAAGAAAAATAATATTTGACAAGACTGGATCCCTGCAGAATTATTATGCCTACCTGTTTCTAACAGAACTCGTACAACATCCACCTTTCCAAATAGAGCTGCTTCATGAAGGGCACTTCCCTTTTCTGTCTGAAGAAAAGAAAAAGAAAACATAGTTACATTTGGAATGCATGAAAAATTTTAATTCGTGTACCTATCTTTCAATTTATGTAGTCATACATATTTTCTGCAATCTCAGTGCACTTAAAAGAAAAGTTGTATCAAATAAAGAGAATCCAGGAACAAACTTTAGAGGCTTAGGTTTGTAAAGCACTTCTACTTCTAACTGGCCTTGTTACAGTAGGAAGCAATTCTTTTTCCCTTAATCTTGGTTGTGTTAACTTTAAAATAAATAGTAATACTTATTGCAGAAAGCTTTTATAGTGTCCAATGAATTTAATCAGTATGAATTTAGTAAACACTAATTATATCACAAGATCAGTGAAGGATGTTCTGAGGCTTATCATTCTATCCTGGCCACTGTAAATCCACATTCTCTGTGAGGGGAAAATGTGTAAATCAATATTTATGATAAATAAAATCCAAAAATTGTATTATGGCTCACAAATTTAGATGATCTTCTCCCAGCTTTCTTCTCCATTCTCTTTCCCATATATCAAAAACTCTCTCTGACCTATGCTTAAGACATACTGACTTTATTCATATTAGTGTCATCAAATATTATAGAGGTCTTCTGCCTGGCTGTATCTAATTACTAGATTTCTTGATCTGGACATCACTCAAATTACTAGTTCTTAATCTTCAGCATGAATCACAATCACCTGGAGAGTTAAAAACAGGTTTCTGGGCCCCATCCCCAGAGTTTCCAAAGATAATTTCTATTTCTAACTAAATCCCAGATGACATTGATGGTCTAAAGAGAATAATTTGAGAACCACTGACCTATTCAGTATGTCAGATCTTAATTTAATTTCCTTAAGGAAGATTTCTTGTGCCTCTGAAGCATAGTGTTTTTACTGTGTATATCTATCTATATATTCCTTGCCATAGCACTCAGAACACCACATTACAATTCCAATTGTTTATTTCCCTTCATTACCTGTACATTCAGTGAAACTATAATTTTTAGAAAAGTACTTTGGAAAGGTAGAAGCTTAGGATCAAGCTTCTGGGAAGAGGTAAAGGTTCAGGGACAGAAATAGGAACCCACAATGAAAAATAATTGTGAGTTATGCAGATATGTTTTCTTTTATTGATTTTTATGTAATTTTTTCATGTTTATGTATTAATTTTGCCTTCATAGTTCTACTTATTTTTTCACTTGGTCTTGTTTATAATGCAACTCAATTAAAATCTGATTTTAAAATGTAGGCATTTGTAGCTACAAACTTTCCTCTTAGTACTGCTTTTGATGTATTCTAAAGGTTCTGGCAAGTTGTGTTTTCATTTTCGTTCAATTCACTTATCCTCCTCCCCTTATTTCTTCAATGATCCACTGGTCATTTAACAGTGTACTGCATGTTTGAATGTTTTCTGTAGTTTATTTTGCTACTGATTCCTAGTTTTATTCTACTGTGTTCTTACAAAATACAGGATATTACTTTAATTTTCTTATATTTGCTAAGACTGTGTGTCTTCAGATATGTTCTATTTTGATAAAAGTTCTAAGGACCTCTGAGAATGTTTATTCTGTAGCAATTGGGTAGAATACTCTTTCAGTGTTTAAGTCTTTAAATTCAATGTTTACAGATGTCCTCTAATTTCATTGTTCATTCTTATCATCACTCTTTTTCATTGAGGTTTCACCCACTTCACTATCATTCAGGTCCTTTGGAGGAGACATATTGTCTTATCTTTCACTTGTGTTTCTAAGTTGGGATCAATACATTTGAGGCCAAGTTTTTGGTTATAGATTTTAATCTCCTGTATCCCTTCAGGTGAAATATTCACAGTGTTTTTATAAGACCATCTGTGGCTGTTAGGTTGTGATGGATTTTCTCAACAATGGACTGAGGAGTTATAGCTCAGATATTTGCTCATAGCAAACAAATCACTAGGTCCAGATCCTTGACTCCGTAAGGACTACAGAAGCAATCACAGTTGATAGATACAATGACAGTAGAAAATACAATAATCTAATTAACAACAATCACCATCACTGCTCCAATATCTTTAGAGAAATAAAGGTGCAAATATACTATTTTGTAAGCTAGGATGCCACTAGTTAAATAATGATGGTAATGCAAATAATATAGGAAGGATAATGCAATGAAAAGTACAATATATATGGTATAATAAAAAGGATAGAGCTATCACCCTAGCTACTCAAGTAGTTGAGATCTGAGAATAGCAGTTTGAAGCCAGCCAGGTCAAAAAAAAAAAAAGTCCATGAATTTTTTTTATCACTCCTAGGTCTTGAACTCAGGGCCTGTGTACTGTCCCTGAGTTTTTTTGTTTTTTTTTTGTCGGTCGTGGGGCTTGAACTCTGGGCCTGGGCCCTGTCCCTCAGCTCTTCAGCTCAAGGCGAGCGCTCTACCACTTGAGCTACAGTGCCACTTCCGGTTTTCTGGTGGTTTATTGGAGATAGGAGTCTCACAGTCTCTCCTGCCCGGGCTGGCTTTGAACCGCGATCCTCAGATCTCAGCCTCCTGAGTAGCTAGGATTACAGGCCTGAGCCACCAGCGCCCGGCTGTCCCTGAGTTTTTTAATTCAAGACTAGCACTCTACCACTTTGAACCACAACTCTATTTTCAGTTTTCTGGAGGTTAACTGGAGTTAAGAGTCTCATGAACTTTCTTGCCTGAACTGGCTTTAAGACGTGATCCACAGATCTCAGACTCCTGAGTAGCTAGGATTACAAACATGAGCCACCTGTGCCTGGCTCAAGTCCATGAAATTCTTATCCCTAATTAATCAGCAAAAAGCTAGAAGTGCAGAGTGCCAGCATTGAGTTGAAAAAACTAAGTGAGAGTGCAAGGCCCTGAGTTCAAATTCCAGCAGCACATACAGAGAGAGACAGAGAGAGAGAGAGAGAGAGAGGGAGGAGGAGGAAGAAGAGGAAGAAGGAGGAAGAAGAGGAGAAGGAGAAGGAAGAGGAGGAGGGGGAGGAGGGGGTGGGATTAGGGGTGGCTGACAAAAATAAGGCAAGATTGTAAGAAAGAAGGAAATTTTAAAAAGTTATAGCTAAAATATAGTGGGAAAGAAAGACAAAAGAAAAAAGAGAAAGATCTAGAAAAAAGGAAATTGAGTGAACTAATCTAGTTGTAGACATAAAAAACAGTAAAAATGGGGAAGTACTATAGGACAAAATAGATTGTTAAATTGAGTATTGGAGCCAGGCATGAGTGATTCATGCCTATAATATTAGCTGTTCAGGACACAAAAAGTTAGTTAGATCTCATCTCAATCAACAAGTCAGGTAAGATGGTGTGTACTTGTAACTCCAGATACACAGAATTACATAGGAAATAGGTAGGAGGTTTGTAATGTGAGGCTGGACTTGAGGAAAAATGTAAAACCATATCTGAAAAATAACTAAAGTAAAAAAGGTCTAGGGCAACGTTGAAGTGATACAGTGCCTGCTATCAACTCTAAGGCCCTAGCTCAAATTCCGGCACCACCAAAACATAAAATAAAAAGTTTAAATCTAAGGTTGATTTTCAGTTATTCAAGAAGTAATCACAAAGTAAAGCAATAAATAAATGGGATAATTTTATCAGAAGAGCAGAAAAGCTCAAAAGCTATGTACATATGACCATATAAGATGATGCTATGTACATATGATCATATAAGATGATGCTAAGTACAATGAGATGTACAAGACGCTATGTTGAAAAACAAACTTTACAATTTAGGGGTGTTAGGGGGCTGGGGGGTATACAGGGAGTGTAGTTGTGGAGATGGGAGGGAAGGGATGGGAAGGGGAAAAACAATGAAGAATGCAACAATGCTTGATAAGAAATGTACTCATTACCTTGCTTGTGTAATTGTAACCCCCTCTGTACAGTATTTTCACAATAAAAAAAATTTTTTTTAAGATGATGCTAAGTGAAATGAACTCCAAGATATAGACAAAAGAGATCTTCCTTGGTTGTTGTTGTTTTTTAATGTACTATGTGATTTTTTTTTGTTTCCTTTATATGATCTTCCTCTACTGGTATATCCCCTGTTGTTACAGTACTTGATTTTGGTATCCTTCATCTTGTAAAGGGAATAACAAAATGCTGAAACAAGGACACAGGATGACCCATTGCAACAATGATACTCACAAGACAGTATATTGGAAATGAACTTTACAATTTCAGGGGGGGCAGGGCAGAGAGGGAGAAGAGTAAGGGAGGTGGGGGAAGGAGAGGGATAGTGGGAGAACAACAAAGGAAGAAGTAATAATGCTAGACAAGAAATGTACTCTATTGTCTTCCTCATGTAAATGTAACCCCTCTGTACAGCATCTTTACAATAAAATAAAATTTTTAAAAATAAAAAATTGGAATCAGAGAAAACTGATGGTACAAGGCAATGAGATATGAGGAAGAAGTTTTTAAGATGGTAAATATTACAGTATTTTTTGTGTACTTTCTAAATACATTTAGAAAGAAAAATGGGATCTTAAAGACAAACAAAATATTACAAAGATATAAGGAGAGAATAAATACCATGTGCAAAGTAGCAGAACTGGCCTTGTTATAAACCTAGAAGTTTCATTTAAAAACTAGGAAAGAAAATAGATACAAATACATTGGCAAAATATGGTGATAAAAATCCCTATTTGCCTGTTTTAAAAGTAAAGTCATGTCCTTGTTTGTAAATAAAGTTTTAGCAAGGCACCAGTGGCTTATACCTGCAATTCTAGCTACTCAGGAGTCTGAGATCTAAGTTTGAAGCCAGCCTGGGCAGGAAATTCCACAAGACTCTTATCTCCAATTAATCACAGAAAAATCACTGTATCTCATGTGGTAGAGTGCTAGCCTTGAGCAAAAGGAACCCTAGGACAGTGCCCAGGCCCAGAGTTCAAGCACTAGGACCAGCAAAAAAAAAAAAAAAAAAAAAATATGTATGTGTGTGTGTATGTATGTATGTATGTATGTGTGTGTATATATATATATATATATGTATATGTATATATGCAC